GCGATGAATATAAATGACTTTGCGGGAGGACCTTCTTGGTGTTACCGCTTCATGCAACGCAACCGCCTCTCTATCAGAGCACGGACAACTGTTAATATGTTACGTTAACATACCGCCTATTCACGTTATGTTAACAGACGCATATTCAGCCTGTTGTTCTCCATTTTATTGTTATTAAGATAACTTGCCTTTCAAGATGAAATGTATGTTCTTGGTCTCTGATTTTATGAAATAAATTTCCCCCAAAAAGTGCGACTTATAGTCCAGTGCGACTTATATATGTTTTTTTCTTCTTCATTATGCATTTTTTGGCTGGTGCGACGTATACTCAGGAGCGACTTATAGTCCGGAAAATACGGTATATATATGTTTAGTATTTAGTGTAGGTAGATCATTTTGCCTTGGTCATTTGAAGAATAGCTCACAAGGCGAAAAAATGTGGGTACCTCTGGTAAAGGTTATAGCACCCGTTTGCCTTCTGCTCTGTTGAGCATACCTCATTCCACAGGCCGTCCACCACGTAGATCAGCTGGAACAGGTTCACAATGATCATGGCAGGGGATGGAGCATCCAGACCCTGCTGCTTCATCTCAGCTAACGCCATTGCAAAGTTGATCAAACACTAAAAGTGAGAGATAAAATCTGTCACCAATATGAAATGTTACCTTATCATCCAGGGTGGTGGATATCAGTTCATGGAGATACAACTGTATGCATGCCTGGGCAAATTATATCTTTTGTTGACTTTTGAAGTGAAAAGCAGTAAATAAATCCTGTGCAAGAAACAATTTGCTTTTCTCAATATGCAGTGTTTCCCCTATTACTGCTGTTGGTTCAGAATTTTGACCCATTGTTTCAGTGGGCTTTTATTGTTAAAAGCCAAATAGAAAGTGGAAACGTAGTGACACTTTACATGGAAATACACGGAAGAGTCACGTTACTCCTTACATTACTGAAGCCTTGTAAAATTCATTGCATTAACAAGAGTACAAAGCTTTCACTAAATATATGAAGTCTCCAAACTACTCTGAAAAGGGGGGCCCATGTTCAACAGCTGTAGTTCTTAACATTATAAGTCTAAGATCTGCATTAATCTCATAACTAAAAAAACAAAAAAGCCAATAACTGAGTTTGTGCCACATGTTGGAGATTAAATCTGCAGCTCAAATAAAATCAGTTCCAGGTCTTTTACCCCTGAGACAGTTCTTGTAGTTCCTGGCAATAAAAAGTGCTGGGGGCTTTCTGGTGTAAATGCAGCTCCAGTGGTACTTTCACCAACTCTACAATCAGCTGGGGTATACAGGTGCATCTTTAAAATCATGATGCAATGACTGTAAGTCAAAATGACTTGAAAACTCACCCAGCCAATCAGTCCAGGGCGCATCTCACAGAAGAATTTCAGATCAAAGCCTTTGATACGGGGATTGAGCTCATGTCCTTTGAAAAAGTCATATATTACATTTCCTGGAGAAAAATGGGGAGAGACGAAATCAAAAAATTGTTTAAAGCAGACTACAATCACAATAAATGAATTAACAAAGATGAGAGAGACAGTGGAATGTTATCAGCTCAGTGAGTCAATAAGTTTAGATCTTTTCACTTACCAGAGTTTCCCCCTAGTGCCAGCTGCTCTGGGGGAGCATTGCGAGAGCGCACATACAGGTAGATGCTAAGCAAGATGGAGATGAGGAAGGAGGCTGTGGCCAGCTGCAGGAAATGGCTATGGATGTAGGTGAGGTCAACACCCTGATGCACTGCTGCTGCCACTGCTACAGCACTCACCACGATGGCAAAAAAACCTGGAAGGACACAGAGCAGTTTAGATAAAAGCATACAGAGAGAAGAAAGATTAAATGTGGATGACAAAAACCATCAAATCACAAAGACACAGTATAAATGTTTAATATGTCAAGGACACCCCCCACCCCAAAACAAACAAACAAAAAACCTCTTTAATGACCAGAAATAAATTTTCTTAGCATGAAATGATGGATTAATGTAAGAGTTAGGATTAGTTGTCAGAAGGGGTTGTTCCATTATAGGAACCTACTGAAACGTGTTGTGCCATGCAATGCTCGTCATGGGTTCTGCGTTTGTTTCCACTGTGGTGTGCCCTGGGAGCTAAATTTCAGCACCCCTCAGAAGGTAGTACTAAAATCAAGTACCAGGAATGCGAGGGGGAAGGGGTGCATGTGCACAGAGCAGTCACCGGTGATTGGTTTAATGCTTGTGTCTTCACACCTCAAGCATTACCATTACAAGCACAGTGTGTAAACACACAGGTGACTGTGTGTGACAGGGGAGCAGCCCCTCCCTCCTCTAAACAGAGACTGACACAGAGAAATTACAGTGGAAAAACAAAGCAGGACGGTCCATGTCTACCCAGAAGGTTATGCTTGGTGATAGTTAAGGGAAGTATGGGGTATACTGCTCATTAGGTTCTGATAGTGGAAATGCAGCAAGATAAACATGCATCCAATTTCACTAAATGTGGCAAACAAAACTAAGGCTACAGTGTTAGTTACAAACACTAACTGACAAATGAAATGGATCTGTTTCTCTCAAGTAAGAATTTGAGCGCTGGCTTCACACAGCCTCACCATTGGTTCTGTACTTCAGCCTCTCCCCAGTCTTCAGTGGCATGCCTTCACTTAACTAGACAGAAAAAAGGGGGGGTTAAAAGCTGACCAAGAGTACATTTTCATTTACTGTGGAGGGAAATGTCATGGGGGAAATGGAGGTCAGTCACTCACAAGTAAACAACTATGTGAAAACATATGGACCCACCAAGATAATGGCAATTTTGTTGACAGGAGGTGAAAATGCCACTGCACATTTGGAGTCATGCAGAAGGGAATGAGTTAGTCTGCTCACAAGTTTCAAATCATTTCAGATGCCAAATAAAGTTTTACTGTAAACACTGAGGGAAGAAATGTATTTTGTGATTACTCCCCTCGTTTTACCACTGTAGACACTTCTAAATGGCAGTACAGCACTGAAATAAAAGACATTTCTGTCACATAAGGCACCACTTCTGCCAGAAAATTGCTGCAGTCACAAATTCTTTAGTATTCTTGTGCTTTTTTCATGTTTTTTTGCATTGAAGCAAAAAACAGAAAACATACATGCAGAAAAAAGCCAAATCTGATACATTCCACACAGAACTCCAAAAATGGGCTGGACAGAATTACCATCACCCTCAACTTGATATTTGGTGGCACACCCTTTGGACAAAATAACTGAAATCAATCACTTCCTGTAACCATCAGTGAGTTTCTTCCGCCTCTTCACTGGAATTTTGGGCCACTCTTCTTTTGCCAGCTGCTCCAGGTCTCTCAGATTTGAAGGTTTCCTTCTCCCAGCTGCTGTTCTGAGATCTCTCCACAGGAGCTCTATGGGTTATAGATCTGATGTCTGGTGGCCACTTCAGAACTCTCCTGCATGTTGTCTGAAACCATTTCTGGTGCTGTTTGAACTCTGCTTTGGGTGATTGTCCTGCTGTGAGACCCAGGTTTTGGCAAAAACTCCAATTTAGCTTTTTTATATTTCTGTGTCAGCAGTGGGGTCCTACAATAGTATCCGTTGTAAACTTCTTGACAACAGCAAAATCTCCGGAGATGGACTTGGAGCCTTGAGACTGTCCAGGCTTTTCCACTATGTGGTTCTCTGATCCTCAGACAATTCTTTGCTCTTCTTTCTTTTCTCCATGCTCAGTGTGGTCCACATGACACAAAGGTTGAGTCGACTTTTCTCCATTTTAACTAGTTACAAGTGGGATTTCTATGTTGCCAGCACCTGTTGATTGCTACAGGTGAGTTTCATTACAAATTAAAGGAGCATCACAGGCTGGAAATACAACTATTTCTGATCATTTTGAAAAGGTTTCAATAATTCTGACCAGTCCATGTTTGGAGTTCTGTGTGGAATGGATCAGATTGGGCTTTTTTCTGCTGCTTTGTGTTGTTCCAAGAAATAAATAAGAGAACAGCAAAGAATTTGTGATTGCGACAATTTTCTGGGAGAAGTGGTGCCTTAACTGACAGAAATGCAGGAGTAACCATATTTTTGGCATCTGCATTAGAACAAAGTAGTACTTGGACTGAGAGAGAATATTTTCAATGAGTGTAAGCTATTAAGAGGCAGAGATGACTCGGGAGAGAAAGACAGAGACCGTGTTTATCCTGTGGAGAATCTTAACCATTAATCCAATATGTGCTACTTGCCAGAGTTAAGAAACAAAGTCATGTGCACGTTCATGTCATTACTGTATGAAAAGTAGTACAAAGTGCACCTTACTTGTACTGGGTTCAGTAGATACTGTACTGTACAGTTCTAAGCTCCTCTCACTTACCTTTCCAAAAGGCAGGATGTAGAGCAGGGCCTGGAATAAGATCCAGAGGATGACAAAGCCAAAGGCCTGGGTATCCCAGAAGGCTACAAGAGGTGGCAGAGGAGGAGGAAAGTTGGCCAGGCTCGGGTCCTCCAGGCTGACTTGGAGGATCAGGAAGAGGACCCAGGCTGGCAGAAAGAGCAGCCAGAAGAACGCTCCTGGAGGGAGGAAAATAATTTATCTGAATGGTTACACACTGACAATTGATATGCTCCTTAACATACAAAGAAGTCACAAAGCTGAGCCATCTGTAAGGTGAGGAAAGTTACATACTTCACAGAGTGAGGCTGAGGCATGATGGCCTAAAGCAAAGGCTGTTATCTCAACTGTGCTGCTTCAAAAAATCCACCCTACACCACCAGTGTCTCATTCTTTTAGTAAACTGAAAAGCTGTGCATAGTATATGACAACACACAATTGCACAAAATTCATGCTGTTACCAGAACAGCAAGCTATATTCTGTCTGTCTAGTTCTCTGTGATTAAATGAAAAAATTACAACAGTTAAGTAAATTATTACGAACTATATTTTTGTGTGCTTTATCAGCACTGGATTGTATTGGAGGGTGTATTCAGTCTGGTCATATGTTAAACTTCAGAAGGCTTTGCTTTGCCCCAAAAGGCTACTGGGTCTACACTGTCCCTCCTGAAACCTACCTATCTTCCCTCCAAAGTCAAGTGGGGTGGAGAGGGTGGCAACAGGAGCTGCAGCCATTATGGCCTCCTTCTCCTCTGGTTTGGCCTCAGCTGGTTTTGCATCTCCATCATCTTTCCTACGGCGCAGATTGTAACGGCCCTGGTTCTTCTCAGGCTCAGCTTGTACTTTGGCCTCTGACTTCTGAAGGAACATTTATTATTTAGGATTTTGGATTATTACAACATAAAAAATAAGCTCAAAACTTGCACAAAAATGTAAGGTCACAATTTTAACTAAGTTCTTGCACATCATTAAGCTGCAGTGAGTGACAGGTGAAAAGGATCACATATAGCTCGTACTGCCATTTTTGTTGTAATTTCTTCTCTTTTAAAGTCACAACAACAGCCAGTACATAAACGCCGCTCTGAAAAATGGACATCATTTTATGTTCAAATATTAACCTGCAGATCCCTGATGACTGATGTCAATATCAATATTGCAGACTGAGCAGAATGCATGGCTGGGAAGTCTGGAGATGTGGAGGGATAGCCATCTCTCATGGTAACCTTCTAGGAATTAACGTGGTTTGTGCAGCCGAGATGTCATGATGCTGCAATACTACATGCGAATGACTGCAATATTTAGGCCAATGTCATGAATACTATGAAAAATCATGCTTGACAAGTGAAAAAGCAAAGCCAGCTAACATATGTAAGATTAGGCTAGTGTTAAGTTACAACAACTTGTATCTCTAATTTCCACACGCCCACAGTCCACTTCCCGAGGTATAGTGCTATATGATGAAGTGGGAGTGAACCTAAGATGCATGCCATGCATGCACACGGTTATGTTGTGTCAAGGGCCATGTAAACACTACCCACATGGTCAAATGTTATTCTACAGTGTGACAGAATAAACCCCCCACCCATTATTTGTTATGACCAGTCATCAAATACCTCCTAAAGCTAAAAGAAAACAGATGCTCTCTGCTCCAGTGTTAAACTGACTCCAAAACATTCTGATTGTTCACTGAGCTCCTCCTGCTTCATGTTGGTTTACATGTCAACCAGCCACAGTGAACACATCAGCTGTGCATGGGGTTCGTGACTGGTCAGCATGTGGCAAAAGTTCAGCCATCCTGTGCCCTGCCTGTGTCATATAGACCTACAGCTGATCACTCACAGGTAAAACAGTCTGATTAAATCCCAGCATCACTAAAATTAAATGTAAGGCCTGTTTCTGCTGCTGATCATCACATCTGATGTTCGTCTCCACGGCCCCTCCTGGAAATGACACTCTACTTTGTCAGTTTGGATGATCTTAGTTTTGTTCTCTCACTTGTCTTTTGTAAATGGAATCTGTAAGCAACACTAAACCGTTGCTGTGAACCATCCACGTCATCATATACAGTGGGTACGGAAAGTATTCAGACCCCCTTAAATTTTTCACTCCTTGTTATACAGTATTGTTCAAAATAATAGCAGTACAATGTGACTAACCAGAATAATCCAGGTTTTTAGTATATTTTTTATTGCTACATGACAAACAAGTTACCAGTAGATTCTCAGAAAGCAAACAAGACCCAGCATTCATGATATGCACGCTCTTAAGGCTGTGCAATTGGGCAATTAGTTGAAAGGGGTGTGTTCAAAAAAATAGCAGCACAATAATGTAATGTCAAGAATTTCAACTGAGTGTGCAAGTATTCTTTTTCCTCTCTTGGGGGAAAAAAGTGGCAGAGCATTATTCCAGTGCATTCTGGCAGCACTACACCTATGCATTTACCTTTATAAAGGAGTTCAAACTGACTGCAAGCCCTGATTCTGTGCTCTACTGTGCACACATCTATAGTATGAGCACCACTCCCTTCCCATCTCACAAAGACACACAGATACTAGGTGGCATTTTACAGAGACATCAACGCTTGATATGTGCAACTGAATCCAATGGAGTAATGAATCAAGCCGAACACAAAAACAAACTTGCAGAAATGCATAGTCTTCACTCTCCCTATTATCAAAATGCCTGGTCTCCCATTCATCCACTAAACCATCAAAATGCCTGGTCTCCCATTCATCCCTTGTCTCCTTGTTCTGCTGACTGTAGTGAATCGTGAATGAGAGGAAAACGAATGCTAATTGTAGGCAGTTAAGGGTGGAGTCTAATAAGCTCTGTGTATGAAAATTATTTAAATCCTTGTGGACTTGCAGATGTGACTGGCCAAATAAAGCATGATCTTGTGAGAGGAGCCTGAGTGGCAACCTCCGAGACTGAGAAATGGAGCCAATGTGAAGTGCCAAAGCCTGCAGTTCCTCGAATGGCCATTTAAGGCTGGCTCTAAAAGGGAGTCGATACCCATAGACTCCCATGTTAAAATGCCCAACTTTACAGCAGAAATAAACATGTTTTACAGCCTGGTACAAAAAACTGTTTTGGTCTCTATAGCTAGTTACCCCTTCCATAACTGTGCAGGGGGGTGAATTATTACTTAACTCACCTGTTTAAGTGTTTGATAAATTGTCAAAGTGTTTATTTAATTAAATGCGACATTTTAAAACAACTATTTAATTATTTAAATCACAGACAACTTCGGTAGTCCTCAAACACCAGCTTCATCCTGCTGTGTGTGTGGCCTTAACAGTAACAGGGAAACAAATGTAGTGCCAATAGCTGGGCAGTGCCACTGCCGGCTATCGATTTATAGTTGAACATTTTATTTGAGTAAATACAGACTTCTCCAAAATGTGAAAAGGATTAAGTTCTCCAAAGTTTTCTCCCATGAACAAAAAGTTTTTTTTAAAATGACAAAACTCACCTCAGTTACTTTGCTAGCTGTGTTATTCTCCTCTTTCTTTTCATGTCTATTGATGCTACTGTTTTCAGCGGCCTTTGTCTCTTGCTGCCCATCAAACAATGTAGAGAGAATGATGGAGACAACGAGAGAGGGGAAAAAAGGGGGGGCGAGGCGACGAAAACAACAACAACAAAAAAAAAAAACAATGTGAGGACCAGGCATAGGGAACATGACAGTGTTATGGTCAAGATCTAGAATGTCAAACACAGAAGATGACACATTTTCCTACAATGACAAGGTAAGATGACTTAGGACATCTAACAAACTGGATCTTGTCAATAACTGTACACCATTTTAAACTCAAACAATTACACAACATTAAGTAATTGTACCTAACCAAGACTTTTAACAGGAAATCATTTGTTACATTTCAGACAGTAACATTTCTATTTTTCGATTTTATGTTTAATCAACAAAAAGCCATAAAGACAGTCTTTGCTGCCTTCGTGATTGTGGTAGGCTACTTTAGCAAACCCGACTCAGTGTCCATGTCCTTTTGCACTCCCCGCTGCTGTTTAAATGAAATTGTGCACAGGTATAATCTATTTGTGTGGTGAATTGGACAAGAGCATTTAGCAGTCAATAAAGCCATGTTAGTCTACAGCAGTCATTTAACACACACCTGCGTAAAGCACAGCGTGGAGGTGCTGAGAATCTGTATTACTTAGAATCTCCATTTTCAAATTTACTGACAGCACTTTCCTAACACATATTCATTCTCTCTGATGATACCCACATTGTCAAATTCAGTGATAAAAGACTGACAAGGCAGCTGTGGCACTCACCGAGGGACTCAGCATGAC